ATGAAAAATAATTTGCATTTGAATAAAAACTTGTTATCACATGAAAGGATGAGCACCGGGACTCGCTTTGAAAGAGAGGCCAAAGGTGATTCGGAAATGGGCAAATAGCATTTCATGATTCGAAAAGACTAAATAATATTTTTACGATTTTAAAAAAAGTACGAGGTTTAGTTAACTAGGATATCATCTGATTTTTATTCAATTCAATGCGTTGTTATAAAATTAACAAATGGTAACACCAAAGCGTACCCTATTGAGTTATGGGAGGTGCCTAAGAACGAAAAAAAGAGTAAAAAGTCGCCCTCGGTTATCGCCTCGAGCGACTCTAGCTTCTTGAGAGCGATCGACCCAAAGATATCCTTTTTAAGCTTAAAACTGCTTCTACGACAAACGCCTGAGATCCCTTTCCGAACAATTTTCTTAGGCATTAAAAGAAAAAAATTCCTTTAACGATTTTGCGATTATAATTTGATGTTATACCTGAGTATGCTACCATTAATTGATAGACTACTTAATCAACATCATGGTAGAGCACTGCACCGGTATTGCAGAGGTCGTGGGTTCAAATCCCGTACGGGTTTGAATTTTTTTTCAAGCATTATATCCACCTACTACATAAGTACGGTTTATTATTGCAAGGAACGCTTTCATACATCAATTGCCTATTTTTTATTTTTAAGAAATCAGGTTTTTCATCTGTACCTTAATGCTGAAGTGCCTTTCTCTAGAAACTCCGCTGTTTTCAGTCTTTACTTTCTGTTTCAGTTTCCCAGGGGGATAAACCGAGTTCAGATCAGAACTGATGGCAAACAAAAAGCAACAACATTAAACAAAAGCAACTGGAATGAACAACTTGAGTTCTTGAGACTGCAAGTGCAGACAGCATGAACAGAAACATTTTAAATAGTAAACATCACAAATATAGAGAACATGTAAATTGGATAACACTTGCAGGCACTCAAACTCATACACAGAGAGAAAAACAATTAAAAACAAAATACTTCACAAAGCAAAAAATTAGCAAGGGTCTAATTTTGAAATTCATTTTTTTTCTCTATCAAATTTAAAAGTGTAACTTACACCCAAGCACCAGTTTTATAGTCTCCCTCATTGAACTGAAGCCGCAAAGCAGCAAGGAGATACAAAGTGGTATCCGGAGCAGGATATTTGCCAAGTATGATTGAGTCACAAGCCTAAAGGAAAAAAATGAGACGTTACATTTTGGATTAGAAGCCCCATGCCTGAATGTAAAGGTATAAAGCAAAAAAAAAAAAAAAGTCATCAACTGCTAGTTTGTTAAGAAACTTTTAAAAGGTCTTACTAACACTGACCAAACCAGTATATTACGTTTAAGTCCTTTTGAATTTCTAAAAGAGCTTTGATCAAACAAACCTGTTCATAAAGGAATCCGTATTCTATAGTGTCCACCTCCACAAGTTCGGGTTGAAGGTAGCAAAAAATCTTAAAGAAGAGTTTCCACGAAGAGCCTGCTTCGGTCAGGCCCAGCGCCTTGTACCTGAAATACAGAAATTAAGTGAGGTTCCATTACAAACTCTTTTAGGTCAAAATTCANNAAAATATTTGGCTCTCGTTCATGACGTACAGATCTCGCTGCGCTCCGGTCCGTAGGTGAACACCTCGAGCCAAATATTTTCCCATTGGGCCTTCCTACTCGGTCAATAAGTACCTATAATCGGAAATGGCTTGGATACGCCTACTCTGCATTCCTCTACTGTAATACATGGGATTATAATTACTTTTCAAACTTGGACAAGACGTCAGCGAGTACAGCTCTGTCTTCAATATTCTTCTCAATCGTCCCGCACTGCTCGAACAGAGTGAAAATGTTGCACCTCTGTGGGATATTCAAGCCCTTGCACAACTTCTCGACAACCTGTGAGAACAAGACACGAAAAGTGAACGGCACCGAAACATTCATAATCTGTTTAACAATGCGTACTTGGACAAAATAAGGAATGATCCAGCAAAGATACGGAACATCTATCTCCCAAATATGGTCTGCTAAATTGATCGATCATAGCGCATGTGCTAACTGAGAAAATAACAAACCAACAATATTCTTCAAGGCTCTCAAGTTATTTTAATTGTTTTTTGTTTTTTGTTTTTTTTTTCCATTACCTCTCCTGCTGTAGTGGCAGAGTTTATCGAGATCTTACAGGATCCCCCGCCATAGCAGTGAACAACAGCCGAGAGCTCTCGACGGCCCTACAAAGGAGTAGGATTAAAAGCAAAACAGGATTATTAACAAGAACAATTTCACAGTAGGCAGGCGTTACTTAAAGAAGAGATTGTAATCAGACGTAATATCAACATGGCGCTAATGAAACGGGAAATCCGCTTGTTTTATTTCTCTACTTAGCGTATATCCATGCAGGTTTGTCCTATCTACGACCTAAATTGACGTTACTGCCTAGTAAGTCGACGAGAACTTGCACTGAATTACGTTGATAATCGTACAGCACAGGTAAGAGAATCGCCGTGCTTTTCTTGTACGTTACCAAGACAGAGGTTGGCTTGTCTCTGAGGATCCTTGGCCTGAAGTTGTTGACATTTGCACGAGTGTTCATTTGCTATTTTGTAATATGCAGTCCGTTTCATCTTTGCCATCCTTAACCCTCTACACTTTTTGCGTTATTCTTACCTCTGGGATGTTTATTTACCAAAGCAAACAATTGTAACAAGATCTTAATTTATTCAAATCAAATGAAAGATGATGCAAGAAAATGATTCGAAGTATCATGGCGTAGCTCCTTAAGTTTATCGGACGAAAGCCACTCGCTGTCCTTGAAAGCCGCGTGAAGTGTATATTTTTATCTTAAGACGATGGTATTCCCCGGCAATGCAACGAACGCGAATAAATAGCGATTAAACTAGATCAGTTATCATCTCAAAATACTGAGACTTACCAGGAGAGAAATGATTTCTTCTCTTGAAGGAGGTAACTCCCTGTAATTCAAACAAACGCAAATGAATAAAAGAGAATTTATTACTGTAATTTTTGAGCGCCAAAAGCCAAACAGCAAATAAACAGCGACACAAAGAGAAATCACACATAACGCAGTTCTCTTTTTCTTTTACCCTTTATGATCTTAATAGTAGCTAAAAAGCAGTGAAGAAAGCCTCATACCTCGGTCTTGTTTTCTTGATACATTCTATCGCAAACACTGCAAACTTGGCCATTTCTGTATTGGAATGTTTATCTCTATTTCTAGAGAGAAAAGGGGCAAGCACAGTTATCGTTTCCAGAAATAAACACGTACTCAGGCTCTTTCCACTCTGGGGAAATTGGCCCGTTATTAATTTTCATCCTATGGAAGTACTAAAAAGGTCGAGATGAAAAATGTGTCAAAAAAAGAATAGATATTTGGTATAATTGCAGCACTACCATATTTCTGCCATCACGCAATGAGAACCATCGAGTACCAAAAATTATTGCTATCAATTTTTTTCTTTTTTTATCCTCAGGTAGCAAATTAAATAAGGCTTCCCATAACCTCCTCCTGAGGTATCCCATAAATTAAATCATGATGGATTCTTGTTAGTAAGGTAAACGTTCGCCAAATTCTACTCGGTCAGAGAACGACAATACCCTTCGTCAGCTTACCTTTTCAAGTGAAGTCTCAAGTATCGAAGGTACTTTCTGGTTGGGACGAATGTACAGCACATACAAACCAACACCTACAAGGGACGAGTTCGTCGACAAAATGTGATCACACTATTAGCAATGACTCAACTAAAAAAAAAGAAGCTTTTTCTAATAATAGTGTTATGGGCCTTGGACAAAAACAGAAAGGAAAGGAAGGGAAAAAATCTGAGTCTGTTGTGGCGACTCGAACCAAGCACTGTTCTGATCTTATTTTTGGATGCTCTAATTAATACCAAGTCCCACTATTAGAAAGATGTCAAACGCGGCTGAGTTTGTCACGAGCGAGTGAAGAGGAAAAACATCTGAATTCCCTCAAAACCATTCGAACAACGGACCTCTACGATTTTGTGGTAGGATGCAGTTTACCATTGAACTTGGTTCATATGCGACAAACGCCCTCATACTGTACGAATCGAGAATGCCGAGCGTACGAAAAGAAATTTGAATTTGGAGCTATGTCGTCCAATACTGTACCTGCATGTTTCTTAGGTTTCCAATGGAGTCAGGAGTGGGGTGATTTGTGGTCTGTTTGATCAGCTGGCAGAACACCTAACGACAAGACAAACATATTTTGTGCGAGGTCCAAAAAAAGCTGAAGCCAACGTTAAATAGTAAATTCACAGGATTGACACTCAACTAAAGACCCACCTCGTCTCTTAGAGGTTTCAAGTCTTGGCAAGTTTGTAGGATTCCCTAAGAAAAACAAAACACAAACAAAAAATGAATGATCGAAATACGAGGTTTGTAATATATTCTTAATGTAGTACTTCAAAATAACTTAGAGACAGGCTTCAGAAGCAATACTCACTACTTGGAACACAGAGAGGATTTATACAAAGATTATGGGTTACGTGCTTCTGTTAACAGAGGAGATCTCGTCCGTGTCTTCACGAAGCTTCTTTCCGCCTCAAAAATAATTAGCATAACATTCACTAATTGTTTTGTGACCATCGTCGTTTTCTACATCATTACCCTGATCATTCTATAGTATCAATACCAAATGTTACGACCAAAACAGGTTTAGCCTACATTTTGAATACAGAAACACAATTCAAATGTGCTCTAAATCGTACTTGAATAACCGGGATAGGATCTGCAATGGATTCTTGTTCCAGTAGTGAACTAAAAACTCCAACAGCCTCTTCATGGAAGGTACCATAACCTTTACCCTTTGCTCCTGTATGAGGGAAAAAATCATACAACAGTGTCCCATTGATGTTATGTTATCCGCTCACCACAAAAATAAGTTAAGTAAATTGCGGACCAGCATCCGCTAAAACTCGTATTTCATATGTTTAGTGACTAGTTTAGGGGTGAACCTACTATCAAAACCTTGTGTTTGTCTTGTAGGAATCTAATGATTAGTCAATAAATATTAGACGCGATTTGGCGCTTCTGTCTCATTGATAGAACGTGGCAAAGGCGAACAATATTCACTTTTTACTCTCGCCTGTCAACGTTTACGTATTTCTCCGCGCTCACTAATAGAAAAGTGCTTCATCGCTGTATACTGATTGGACCTTAATATCATAGAAGCTTGTATTAACCATCATTAAACACGAAGGTGTTGCGAACAGACTCCTTGTGTAACAGATGAAACATTCACTCACGTGACGACTGCGATTGTCCATAGGGGAGGGGAAGCAGAGGAGCCTTGAGCGGTATCTTGGAATACTTCAGTACCGGGTTAGTGCGGTACACTTGGTCGGCTTCACTTTCAGTCATTGTACTCTGTTTAAGTAGAAAAACAAAATACGAAACTTGGGTCAAATAGAATATAGCGACAGGTTTCAATTGACAAAGTTGAAACAAAATCGTGCCAAGGAAACATTATAGTTTCAGATGTAAGGGCGTGGAGAAGCTGGAGCGCTAATCCATCCCGTGGAACCTCGAAAATTTTTGTAATAGTCTTTGACAAGGTATTCAATCGCACGAATTAAAAGAAGAACGAATTGTAGCGACAAACTCATTCGTAAGCACAAGGATTTTCACAAACGTTTCCTAAGATATTTGAGGCGAATGACCACTGCAACTAGTTGTCCAGTGTGTAAAGTAATTAAGTAACTATCAATAATGACCGTATTATTTTTAATATCAAACAATTACCTTTAACTCTGATACCAATTTCTCGAAAGCTGTCTCAACTGGTGGTTTAGAATCGATCACCTAAAAATATTTTAATCAGAACATGTATAAATGAAAAAGAATTTCATTAGCAATACTACTAATGATACTGATGATAACTACATTGGCACAAATTATGATAATCAGTTAACATATCAATACACATGTAACGTTACAAAACTAGTGCAAATATATCCACGGACTTTTCACTCGATACCTGTAATTAGCTAAGGTAATCAGGGTGAAAGTTTGAAGGGAAATTAGAAAGAGGAACACCACGTGAAAACTGGAAAGAGGACATCAAGTTGTCTGTAGTTAGGTATGTTTTTCGCGATGAGTAAGGAGGTCTTAGAGGACAGAGAAAAATGAAAAACCTATCAACAAAAACTGCTTGGGCAAGAACTCATGAGTAACCAGCTTCCAAGAGTCGCCGGCACTTGATTATGATGAAATACTCGTTGGTCGGAGGTTATCCAATTTATTGCAATCGCACGAAAATCCCAACAGGGCCGACAGAGACGCTGCGTCGCTTCTTAAGCCTACCACTTGAAACCAGTGTTAAAAAATATGGTTTGGTCTTTCAAGACAACCTCAAAAGACACATGCAATCAGATATCAAGCAACCGTTGAAAGCCTAGCCACTAAATAAAATATTGTGATTGAAATATTTAGAGCTACGAAAGAATCAAGTGGAGAAATTGTCCAAATTACCTCTTGAATAGCATTCGCCCAACGGATCGCTTCTTCCTGTAGCTTAGCATGGAGAACGTACGATCGCTTTCTGCCATTTACGATAAATGTCCAGTCACCTGATTTCAGAAAAAAAAAAAAGGGTTTCACACATTACCTTACTAATCTGCTAAGCACATAGATTCGAGAATGCTATCTGTAAAAGCAGTGCGCACTTGCGACAGTCAATAGTTTGAAATATTGTCTATTTGCAGATTGTAGCTAAATGCAATACTTAGTAATGAAGTGAACCCATGGTCTGCGTAGCTGGATTTTCCTTGAGGTGGGGTGGAGCCAAAAAAAAAACTCATCAGAAGTTCTCTATTTTCGTCCCAAAGCTCTGAGCTTTCCAAAGCGCGCACAGAACCGCAGATTTCAAGCTGCTACCAAGGATACGAATTTAGGCGTTATATCAAAGAAAAACAAAAACAAAAAAAACACGTCGCAAAGTACATTTTGGCAATTTTCTCCCCTTTTCCTTGTTCATTCAATTATTTCCTACCATCACCGGCGATAGCTTACCCGGTTCACGTTCCTCTGGCGATACAACAGAACAAAGACTGTTCAAGACAATGGATCCGAACTTAGGACTGTTCTTCACATATGATTTGTAGTAATCAAGAGAGTTGCCGGTCAGAACGCACCACCTGAAAAACCCACACGAACCAATTTCAGTGGAACGGCATTTACAACATCTAGTTTTCATCGACAACTGCATTTACCAAACGAAAATTGATTGCAACAGATAACAGTGAGAAGTGTCGCAGAAAATTACTGGGGCAGACTTGCTTGAGCAGAATAAACCCTCAAAGACATCAAATTTACAGGCACAAATGTAATGTACTTACCTCTTTCTTCTCGAATCATCGTTTGCGCCTTCTTTGATGAGCCAACCTCTCTCAATTGTATCAGCCACACCTTCGTCGATTTCGTGTTCCTTACACTGCTGTATTGCTGTGACAAAATAAGTTTTATTTGATAAGTTGAATTGTACACGCATTTTGAAAGAGTAGGTGAAGTGATAGGTTCACGTGTGACTGCATTTATCATTGATTGTCAGTGACAGATTAAAAACTTAGAAGACTGCTATATCACATAACAAATACCACAAAACATGAATTAAAGATACTCCAAACTGTGTAAATGGTTAAACACACGAAGAGAGCACATGGAATGGAAAGCCTTACCACTGCATGTTTAACATTGGCTGATTCTTCTCTCATTCCTTTTAGTTCTTCCTCGGTAGCTCTGTGCACACGATTCAAAATGTTGAACCACTGGCTGCAAGAAATACGCCAAATAAAAATACAGTTAGTACAATTGCTAACAATGAACGTCAGGTTTTTTTTTATTTTTTTGTTTTGGTTGTCTTTCTGCAGTTTTAAGTCAAACATGCGAAATGCATCATTAAAAAAAATCACTGAATCCACAGCAAATTAAATCACAGCACATACGCAGCACTTATTTTTCTAAATACATTCGCGTGATGGCCTCTCGCGTGGTGGCCTCTCGCGTGGTGGCCTCTCGCGTGGTGGCCTCTCGCGTTGTGGCCTGTCGCGTGGTGGCCTCTCGCGTGGTGGCCCGGTGGTTTCTTGAGGTCTCCTAGCCTTATAATTATAAAGTTGTAGATTTATTTATCATTATTGTTAAAAAAGGCAAATGAATGATGACGATAATAATGATGATGATGATGATACTCACTGATAACGCAATAATAGAACAAAACTAGATGTCAAGTTATTTTAAAAAAAACTATACCTACACAAGAATTCAACGAAACATCGAGCTCAGACTCAAGTTAAAATCAATCCATGCTTACTTCCAGTCATTTGTACTCTCAGCTATCACGTGATACGTCCTATTCTCCGTAATGATACTGAACCCATTTTCTTTCACTCCATCATCAACAATGCGCCTGGAAAACACAATAGTAGCAAATTGCCCTCGTCATATGCTGCGTCCAAACTCGCTAGCAATACAAGAAACTTTCCGGTTTAAAATAGAGAGGCTCTTACTATTTTGGCCCTTCCGACAGAGCTGAGCTCTCGCCTCAAACATCCACAGGTTTTTCAAACCTTTTTAATACGGAGACTTAAATGGAAACTTCAATAAATGTGTTTTGCTTCGTAACGTTTGAGCTCTGAAATCTGTTCTCCCGATATGCCGACATCATTTTTTATTTAAAAGACAACGCACAGTGAGACTCATCAAATTGCAGAAATTTTAGTAGCGTCGTGCAATTGATAAGATAATTTCCAGTTAAACGTACTCGAGAAGGAAAATTGTGCCCACTTGAAATTTAAAAAAATTAAAATGAGTATTAAAAATAAAACTAAAAGATAAAATAGGCTGGGTCTGCCCAGACTACGAAAAAAAGTCTCGCTATGGTCCTGTAAACACATCTACATACACTGCATTTCTGATGTCAATGGCTCCGAGGCTTTTAGCTCCTTCTTGGTCACTCTCGTGGTAAGTCAGAACATTGTCTTTCAGCACAAACCATCGGCGTTTCCAATTGCGCCTAAAGGAATTCAAAACATCCTGAAAATGGCTTCTTAACTGTGATTAGATCGTCGTTTAGGTATTTATTTATTTATTTGATAATCAAGCAACAGTAAATGGTACTTTATTCCCTTTATCCCATCCTATATCGTATACTAACGGTTAGATTTCCCCGATAGGGTTATTGGGAATTGCCTCCAAGATTGAACCAATACACTCACATAAATCCCAATTCCTTCTCGTTTATTATCAATAACCGAACGCTAACAACGAAATCAAGAACGACTCCCCTCGCTATCACTGTTGAAAGTCTCCTCCCCGCTCACGTGTTCTGCTTCATCTTTTATCACTGTCAATCATTGGTTTTGGGTGTGTCATTTGACACTTTCTCAAGTCACATTGTTTATGATCAAACATAGCGAAAATCACGCTAAGGGTAACAAACGACTAATGATCACAATATTACGCACGATTTCCGACAGGGGCTGCCTTGGCGCAAATTGTCCCCTCTCACCATCTCTCAATGGGCTACTTGGTACCCTGCCTTCCCCGAAATTTTCCTAAGGTCAGAAAAGCAATTCGAATTTATTCGCGCTCCTGAGTGAAACACGGCACTGTAAACAACACTTTTCTATTCTGCTTGTTTGTTTGTTTTTTGTTTTTTTTGGCTGCGACTGAATTACAAAGAGACCCCATTTTTTCATACCTTGACAATGTCGTTGTGCCCCCGCCTTTCTTCATTAACCAGCCACACTTCAGAGCATCCTTTGAGGAAGAATTACATACAAAAAAGGTCACAATTTGAAAATACTACCAAACTTTAAACGCAGAAGAACTTGGATTCTGTGAATTAAAAACCCGCTTGAAGTATTCAATCTGCTCTGTACAACATTCCGAGACAATTTAATCGCTTCAAGTGATATACTGATTAGAAAAGAACAGATTTGAAGTTGAGTCACCCTTCGAGACACAACCGTTGACAAGAGTTAGAACTGTAGTTAACAGTGAGCAGAGTCCCATTCATTCGTGCAGTCCGTAAGTCAGTAATATTCAGCGACGCGATTGTTTACATAAGAGAAAATACTTGAAGAGCCAACATTTTAGGTAACCCAGAACATAGCTATCGCAGTTGGCGATGATCTAACTGAGCGCAAGTGATTCTGATCGATTCAGACCAAAATACACGAGCGAAATGCCAAGCGCATGCTCAGTCTGTCAGATCTCTCACACTTGTTTGTCACTCGCATTCTCCACGTGCGTCGGCTAGGCAGTTTACTCAGAACAAAGTTTAACAGATCACAGCCACGTGATTGTTAAATGGTCCAACCTGCTTTCCTCTGAACCACATGAAAGTGTCGTCTCTGAGTACGCACCAGTGCTTCTTCCACAGACTCAGCAAACCACCTGCAACATTTTTAGTTCACAAATTTTTAGTTTACAGTTCCCTATAACTGTCATCCTTTTTCTTACAAATAAGCGCAGAGAATTATTTGTTTTATCAAGGTATGCAACATCCGTTCACTGATAATGCATCGACTTTCTCATAATAATTCATCAGCGAGATAAGAACAATTCCTGATGACCAATACACAAATCAACGACTTTACTTGGTCTTTGCCACTAATATCTTTATTTCTGACTTCTGACCTACTGACCTCTCATCATGAGGTAACCCTCTCTGATTGGCAGATCCTGAGTCTCGTACAGACTGGGTGGTCTTTCCCAGGCCTCCTCAGAATCTTCGTCTTCTTCGTCACTATCCTCCAGCTGAAAAGCGAGATAGATTTTCATATCAAACATACACACAAACAATCAAACAAACAAACAATCAAATAACCTAACAAACAAACAATCAAGCAGACAAACAATCAATCAAACAAACAATCAAACAAAAAAACAATCGAATGAACAATCAAACAATCAAACAAACAGACAAGCAAACAATTTAAAGATTAAATGGTAATAAAGCAGTTGTTTGCAAGTCGAAGAAACGTTTCTAGATGGCATTTATTCTAAGTTCCTCGTCACTTAATGACAGAGCATCTCTAGTTATTGAAAGCAAACGTTTCTAACTGAACATAGGGCTCGTACCCAGTCCACTGGAAGCAAACTACAACGCACAAGCAAGAGCGCCATCAAGTTTTCCAAAGCAAGCAAAACGAATCGTCGGGGGGAGGGGGGGGGAAGTAATGATTTTACAACAATATAAAGGTGGGGTGGCGACCCCAACAGCCGCATTGTTGTTGTTGTTGTTGTTGGTGTAGTACTTTATTATCATTTTTTTAAAATAAATTGTAACTTAAATTAGCATCCCCCTCCCTTGTTTTTTTTATCTCTCATCTCATACGCCCACTGTGTTACCTTCAACTGTCTGTCTAACTCAGCAATCTGAGCCGCAGCCTCAGCATCTGCTTCTTTACGAAGTCTCTCCTCTTCTTCTGCTTTCTGTCTGTTGACACAAAACCGAGGAACAACACGGTGTGAACGAAAGAGTGACCACGAAAACTTTGACGGCCACGTGCTCGTAAAGCCCCTCAAGCCAAAACACTAAGTAGCCACCTTACCAAGATTTTCCATGACAAGTGGAAGGAGGGACAGTAGACTAGTGTGGTACTGGTACTGAAGAGTATGCCAAGCTATTCCATTATAAGTTGTAACTTTGTTGTTCACAAGTAGAGGAGGGGAAGCCTTTTTCTACCTTACAACTCCCTTTCCCTGGTTACGACGTCAAACCCTCCAAATTCCTTTCCAACCCTTAATAAAGTCAACAACTCATTTCCTCGCAATAACTCACGCCATAGCACCCTTATGTTATAAAAAGTTCATCTAAAAACGTAGGCGTTTTCAACTCACCTCACGCTAAAGACGTGTATTCCGGTGTAGTTAGCGTAAAATAATGAACTATTCAACGAACCTTTTTGACCACACGCGTAGTTCATAATCATAATACATGTATTTCAAAAACATGCTCTCACCTGGCTTCCTCTTCCTCGCGAAGTCTTTTCTCTTCTTCCTGTCATGAAACACAAACGTAGGTTAGTTTATAATACTAGCCCCCGCATTACAGTTGCTACCACTAAGATTTGGGTTCTGTCCTCGTGTACCGGTTCACAAGAGCCAATACAAAAGACCAAACAATACACAATAGCTAACCGATGACTCCTAAACAAAGAAAGAAGAATGGTAATTCCCTTGTGAACCGGTACACCAGGACAGAACCAAGATTTGACACGATGAGCCATGATGACAGCGTGACTGCATACAGTACCGCTTGCGTTGTACTGCAGCATCCCACACGCGCCGGCATGTAGCAGGTGTGAATTAACGAAGAAGCGGTAGGAAAAATTATACGCGTGCAATGGTTTACACGCAAACGCGCGTATTTTCATACGTATTTTGTCATTTGTTACACGGATTTGCGTGCACTCTCTCACGCGAATGCCATCGCTGTGGGCATTTCAGTTAATCGTACTTTCATGACAGTAATTCGCTCCCCTACATGAAATAAAATTAATGCAGTATGTCGGAAAACTTAAGAACTGTCTGGAGCTATCTTTTCGAGAAGACTAACTATTGCGATCGAAACCCACCTAGGAACGGGAAACAACAAAAACAATTTACCTTTCGGCGAGCTTCTTCCTCGGCTTTCCTTTTGGCCTCTTCCTCCAGTCTCCTCGCCTCTTCGATCTCTCTTGCCTTTGCCAACACTGCTTGTCTTTGTTCTTCTTCCTTCCGAAGTCTTTCCACTTCCTCCTCCCTTCTAAGCCTGGCTTCTTCTTCGGCCTGTTAGAAAGGACAACAGATTTGCGTTTTAACCCTGTGCACCCTTACATCAGTATGCATATTCTCCATACTGTTCTCCATATATTTTCTAAGGTGCTGACAAGGAGAATTTGTTGTACACTGGAGAGTGTCTTTGGTTGGTGATCATTTCTTTTATTCTCATGAGCTTAATGTGTGACTCACGGATGACATTGTAAGGAGAAATTAGACGCTAGTCATTGTTAAGGGTCAAAGGGCTTTTGAAAATTGGATTTACCTCACTCTTAGCAATTGCTGTTTGTCAAACTATTTTTATTTTCTCTTCCTCCCAAGGCCACGAAAAAAATTGCCTCTCCTTAATAATAATAATAATAATAATAATAATAATAATAATAATAATAATAATAATAATAATAATAATAATATCAATTTCTATAGTGCATTTCCATGCAATGTTCTAATGCGCTTTACAACACTGTGCGGTGGTCTTTTCCAGACTGCCAGCGGCAGTTTACAAGAATGAAACTTTACACATGCCCCCTCCCCCCAATTCCCAGTAAACAGGCCATACAACCTCGCAGTAATCTCGTGATGTGGGTTTTTTAACGTCCCCTGCCTAACCAAATTAACTGATTGACAGATGCAGGAGACGGGACCTCCGGCATTACGTCCTATCCGAGAAGACCTGTGACTAACCCTAATCTGTCTCGGACGCAGGGCGCTGTCAACAGTGCTGATTACAATAGTATGAAAGGGGTGCATCGCATCCAGCACCAGGTCTACCTCGCCCGAAGTGCCCTGTAGCTGAGACCTCGAGCGTGCGATTGGCCACACGTTTACTTCACTGTCGAGGACTCAGATGCCTTTTTTGCTCTACGCTCATGACTAATCATTCAAAAATAATTTTTCAAAAATAAAAATGGTTACGGGCTAAGAAGAAAAAAAGCAAGATTTGTTGGCTAAGATGAGTCAATCTTAAAAAATGAACAGCAATAAGCTAAGAGATGTGCCCTCAGCTGTATATGTTCTTATTCAGTCTCCTTCGTATCTAAACATTTCTCCACATCCTTACCTTTCGACGGAGTTCTTCCAGTTCCTGAATCTTCCTCTCCTGTTCCAGTCGTTCCATTTCTCTGTGCGGAAAAAAAAAACATCAGGATGATTGCATTTTTACAAACCATATACGTGATTTATAGCCTACAACAATAATGCTTGCCCATTGGAGAACAAATTGTAAATTAGATTTTGTTCGTCGTAGTGCAAGAAGGGTGAAATGAGTTTGAATGACTTGAAAGTAGCGTAACAGCAAACATTAAAAATTGTTCGGCACAAAATGATCTTTTTTTAAAAGACAGTTTCTCTCTTGAAAGTATGATGCGCCAAAGGTACAGCGTTATTTGGTGAGAGAACCTTAATGAAATTAGCTAGTGAGCCGCAAAAACTATGAGCTGTGCACAGCGCTGAACACACAAACAGCCGTGAGAAACACATGACGATCGACCGATATTTGGTGCAGTTCAACCACCGGTTTTTACAGCAAATAAAATGTGCGTTGAAATTAACTATGACCATTTCACAATAGAGAAAACAATCAGCTAGCTCTTCATTACATACTATTAACGCATACGCGTCCACTTTTAGACACGTCTGGTTCGTCTGTCAAAACTAGTCTGCGTCTGGTCTTGGACCACTCCTATACGAGTATTTTGCGTATGTTTTAGTCCCCTTATCTTTGAGCTACACTGTACGTCTACAAATATGGTGAAGTATTATCATTAAGGAAAGCTGAGCAGAAGCAAAAAATACCTCATTCTCTCTTCTTCCCGTCTTCTTTCCTCTTCTCGTTTGCGTTCCTCTTCGATTCGTTTCTCCTCGAGGAGTCTTTTAAGAAGGACTTGGGCCGTTCGCCGTCTTTCGTACTAAAAAACAATTACGCGGATATTCATATCCACACTCAACGTGTTCAAACTCAAAATATTGGAAGAGCGAATAATGAGAACAGATGTTCCAAACTGCACAGAATTCTTCAGAGTAACTCACCTTTTGAATGACAATAGCCGCCAGCCGCTTTTTGTTGTAAAGTTTGCAATAGTAATGGGCCTATAAGGAAAAATAAAAACCACTTAAGAATGTAGGTATTTTCCAACACATCCGTGCTGCCGCTAACATTAGACGCGACGCTTGCCAAATTAATATGAACCAAGTATACGAACTGCAATAGCTTGCAAGCAAGTTCTCTTTGGCATAGTTGGTGGAGCACCAATGCTCGTAATTGGAATTGAGATTTTTTTTTTTTTAATCCTAGCGAGGGACTCGTTAAGATTCAAACTTCCATGTCCCAGGTTTAAAATATCAATAACATTACAAAAGATTTTCAAGACAAGCTTCGTTTTGTGTAACATGATTTTAGAAACAAAACTATCCATAATATGAATGTACCACAAGGAGACTAAAATACTGTAGATTTCAAGTAAGTAGTGAAAGCAAACTATACCAAACAAAGTTGAGGATTCTTACTCTACGTAAATGAATTCCAACAGAAAGAATCATCAGAAGCATTAGAATTCGTTTGAATGCTTCCGCGAATACTAGAATACCTTGTAATTCTTTTGAATCACAATAATGTGTTGGCGAATCTTTAGATACTTCTTCCGTTGAAGGTATCCAATGATTCTTCGTTTGATAAGCATGGCGACAGCTTCCAACTGCTCATTTCTCATCCGTTCTATCGTGTATTCCAAGTTGTCTTTCATGAAAACCTGTAAGACAAGAGCCCAAAATCAGCAAAATAGATCTTTGGTAAAAAAATCAAAATACGACAAAAAAATCGACGTGGAGACTTTGGCGTCAAAGCTACTGTTAAAAATCAGTTGATAGGAGAAATGACGAGGACGCAAGAGGGACAGTAAGGGCGTTTACTCCACTAAAATGTGTTTAGTTACGGATGGAAACGAAAGTCTGTGTCCCGAACAACCAAAGTATGAATTATCACTTAAGAAATGACATTTACCTTTATAACCGAGATAGTTTTCATCGACAAAAACACAACATGCCACTTATAATTATACATCTTCTTTTCAGATCGAAATTAGCGTTCATGCGGACATCTCCGAGAGGGAACTACCATTCGAGAAACTATCCATGAATATCCCATGGTCCTGTACCAAGCGCCCTCTCTGTACCCTTTGTTTATCATGGCTGATGAGTATCTAGGAAGTGGTCTGTTAAAATGGATTTTAAGGACCAGTTTGCTATGAGGAGTTAGAAAGTTTTCTGCTTTCAAAACAGTCAAACTGAAGTAGCTGTTTTGGACGAATCAGTTGCTACACGCAATTTGGAAAAAATTTTAAATCAAATCCAAAATGTTAATTGACGTAAAAATCCGTATTTGTCCGAGAAACACCTTCACTCTAACATTCAAATCTATATGACCAAATTATCTTGAAACTTGACAGGGCCTTTAAGCAGATGTTAACCCGAAACAAAAACAACAATTCCTCAACCATGAAATTTCACCTTAGTATTCCCAAGTTTAAAGGACTGTTTCTCGCCGTCAAACTCTTCAAGGAGCATGGAGCAATCACTTTTATCCCCAGACAAATTCTTCCCACGGAAAAGCACTTTGTATCTAAATAAAACAAAAACAAGATAAATTTATGATTGACATAGCGTGACCTGATGTGTTTTGGCACGACATGATGTGACAAGACAAGTCAGACAAGACGTGACGTAACGTGGTATGACATAACATAGAAACAACCACTTTGACGAGGGGCTAATAAAGATATCCTTCCCTGATAGCTAAGCCACTGCATTATCATTCACGTTTGGCGAGTTTGGGAAGGATGCCGAGGTGTTTTTCCGGAGGTGGAAGGTAGGGTAAAGGACAAAAAGAGTTTAGTAACCTTGGATTTGGAAAGAATATCTTTGAATACTTTTTTTGTTTCCATTGTGGAAGGGAAGATCGTTTTTGTTGCGCTTTACCGTAACATAAAGTTCGATGTATTTCACAGGTTCGTGGTTGCTTTCACAGTTGTTAAATCCACCTCTTGTTTTGGATAATACAGTTATTTCGCTCATAATGTATTCGGTAATACACCAAAATATGGGGATAGACAGTTGTAGGATGTTATTGCTCTTGACGATAACTTTGTACCTGAATAAGAAGTCTTCATAGGTTCGCCTCACAGGGTAACCTGCACGACGAATTCGAACGGTCTCCAGCATTCCTGAGTATCTCAACTGATTTAGGACAAGCTTGGGGTTAAAGAACTGTGGCAGCTGTAAAGATAAACGTAGGCCCGATATATAAATTTACCTGCGAAAACATTGCGCTTCAAATATTACGATAAAGGCGCGTAAAAGTCGAGTTACGAGCCAATGGCATGAGGTCCATCTGTCCTGAATCGCCACAGGACGGGTATAAAACTGGCAATCACATGGTTATAAATCAAACGTACCTTCTTTTCATTCGGTTTGACACAACGTACAAAATACGGATGCGACTGGCTCAGCGTGGTCATAAGTGATGCTAAGGAAGTCTAAAAACAAGAAAAAACAACAATCAGTTTCTCAAATGTTGAAATATAGCTTGATATGGAAAATTATCTGAGTTTAATGGCCTTTGTGAAAGGACACCAACAAAATTATCACATCAGATGAGCTCGCTGGCAACTTCTGCAGCAAGGTTATGGCTGTAACATCACGCCAATTATGCAGATACAGCAAGACGCAAAATGAGAAAAAGCAAAGGTGTGAAATCAGCAGAACTTAAACGCGCCAGGGTCGTTGTAACTAAGGGTAAGACAATTTCTTAATCTCTTTTAACTTTATCGACGATGTGAGACTTCAAGGAAATCTCTATTGTTTAACTACTATTGTCTAACCGACCTTGAACTGTGAGCTAACAGTCGGCCTTTTCCTTGAGGACTTTTTAGTTCCTGCTGTCGGTACAGAGGGTTTCAGTTGTTCAACGAGATCGTAAATAAAGTCCGACCTAGAACAAATTCATGAATTTGATCAATATCAAAGCTTGAACACGTGACCACTTTATACAGGTTACAGGGAATAGGAGTATTATAAAAAAAAACTATAAAAAACGTCATATTTGGCCACAATAAGTTTACAAAAATTCGACCAAAAATACTACTGACATTGATTTTGGGAGATAAACATGGATTTAATTTTACTTGAAAGTTTATTCTTAGTTTATTGAAGTGGTTGCACTTCAAGTAACCGTTTGGTGCAGGTGGAGAACTATACAAACAGGGTGACAACGACCGGTTAATAGAGAAGATCGCTTAATGGAGGTTACAGTTACAGTGATAAAAGGAACCACTTCATACAGGTCAGACTGTACAAAAAGTTGTGTGAAACTTTGCCGCCCCCTTGATCTTTCACTCGCACTCGACATAATTCGCTGAAATCATTTCACTCTAAAAACATAAATAAGCATTCGTAAATTTTGATAACTTAAAAATCTTGGAACCGATCCAAGATGAAACTATGGCAAAAGGTAACTTTTCAGGTTAGGCGAATCATTCCAATCGCTTACTTTCGCATCAAATTTTGCAGCGAGTTGTTTGGGAACGAAAGGGCCATTTAAAGTTTGAAGGAATCTGGGACTACATGCATTCACCAACGTGATTTGAGAGCTCTCCCGCTTGGTGTTCGTTGGAAGGACAAATAAGGAATACCAACCGACCTAATTCTTTTTTATTAACGATTCCTTTCTAGCTTAAAAGTCCAACTACTTACCTGCTCTGCATTAGGACATTGAGGATCTCGTCTCTTAAAGCATCCCTATGAAACATAGCGAGCATATTAGTTAAAAAAAACTCCAAGTTAATATTTTTAAGCCTTAACTAGTTTCTTATAAAAATTCTCACTAACATTTTCAAACCTAACTTTCATAGTGGACAAAGCAAAGGTTAAACTTCTTATGTAACGTCAGTCGTATGTCTGAGAGATTATAGGTAACCACCAATCACAGGGCCCGTAATATCCAGTTCACTATGCCGACCGTTCTCGGATTGAGCGAGTGTAGGTCGAGAGAAATTTCAGTGCAAGATTTTACAATTTACGACCAACAGATAAAATCCCTCGCTACTTAACTAATTTTGTATAACTGAAGCTTATAATCGCAGCAAAGATGTTGAATAATTCAACTTCTAACAACACTGATACGAGGGAACTACACGTGAATTAATTTTAAAAAATTATGAAACTGTACCTGTTCTTTTCCAGAAAACCCTTTGTGCTGTAAAATACCTAGAAAATCAAACATTGGTGGTTACAGAGTCAAAAAGTTCAAACCAGTTCAAAAAGTCGGTGAAATGTAGTTCAATAGATTTACAATTGTACCTCTCCAGCATAATGCTTGATTCCAAACTTTGTGTTTGCCACACGTGGCTTCACGTAAAAGCTGTTTCCCTGTCAAAGAGAGTATTTTCAAGTCCATAAAGTACGTTCAAATTATTTTTTAGTCATAATTTTAAAGCTACTCTGTCTCTCAGGTTCAAAATACAGAAGCCGAGTACAGAGGTTTTGCACAGCAGCCATGTTGGATGGCAGGATCAATGAAAATATTTTGCATAAGAAAGAAATTTTTTTTCCCATGGGTAAAATAATCTATTGTTCCTACCATCCAACATGGCTGCTGTGTAAAAACCTCTATAAGTTGTGGCATACCATTATGCGACCATGAACATTTGGTGAAGCCGCAAAGCAAGTTGATTATGATTACTACACATCAAACCTCGTGACTTGAATGGAGCTTGTCCAACATAGATCCGTCAGTTCCTTTGGGGAAGTTGCTTTCTTCATCAATCAGAGCCAATACACCAAGTTTCTGAAGAACGTAAAGGTGGAATGTGAAAATTTGTATTAATACATTGATAAGTATTTGTCTCAGTGAAATCCATTGTAAACTTCAGTGAATAAGGGATCTTAAAAATTGCAAATTGCACCAAAGGTGTTTGCCAAGGGAAGCTCATTTGTTTGTACCAATTGGCAGGTTGGGGTCTAAAGGTTCAGGTGAAACTGCAGACCTACGAGTGTCTACATAATTTTATAAATAATTAATAATTATAAATTAATAATTAATAAATCGGATAGAGGCGACATCGCTAAAGTCAAGGTTCCATTCACGGAGACATTGCATGTGAAACTTACTTTTTCAATAAGGTCCAGGCATTCCCCATTGTCCACCCAGTCAATATCTGCCCACTCCAGCCCTTCTCTAGGGATTGAATTTACAACTTTAGCTTATCACCAGATCCCAAACTACATGTCGTGACGGCTGACGTTGTTCCTCGTAACACCGATACAAATGTTAGCACACACATGGAGTAGCTACATGTATGACATATTTGTTTCAGAGAACCACAGCAAAAACGGTTCTCAATCGATCTTAAGGAAAGAAAATGCCGCATCTATAGTAGATAAATGTATGCCGACTATGTTCTGAATTGTGCGATTCTCGTGGAGACAGCTAGGATATTGTATAAAAGATTGAACAAGATGTTCTTCGTATTGTTCAAGGCATATTTCCAATTCAACTGCTATTCAATCACGAACTAGAAGCCAGTAATTTAATTAGTAGCCCCCGCTAACGACATAGCGACCGTTCTTGGTCGACACAATTGAAACCGTTATGCATAAACCACATACTAAATAGCGATGTGACATCACTCTCTGGGTTTTGAATTTCACCGTTCGTGTTTGATGAAAGAACAAGAGTGTTAAATAATAACAAAAAAATACAACGCCAACAACATATAGATTTCATACCTGTTGTACTCATGCTGTTCCAGAGAAAAGATGTGCTTGTTGAAGTACTGCTGAAGCTTTTCATTGGCGTAGTTAATATTAAACTGCTCAAACCTGTTAACCTGGTGATTGGACAAAAATATGTTCCTGGCTGAGAGGTAGATACTCAAGAAACTACTCAAGAATGAAAAAAATTTAACTACCAATTAAAGTAATTGATAGTCTTATACCCCATTCACACCAGAAAACTTGTTTAGTTAAACCAGGTTTAACTGAATAAAAATCAGAAGCAGAGAACTGAAAAACTAAATTTTCCACAAGATTCAAGCAATTGCTAAATTGTATTTTCAATGTGCCACATTTGAAGTGAACCAAATATTGATTTGAGCAGCTTCTATGGAGCTGCTGTGTTAAACCATGTTTAACAAAACAGCTTTAAAGCATGTTTAGGCTTTGGTGTGAATGGGGTACTAGATTAATAAATAATTTGGAAACCTACATCGAAGTTCTCAAAACCAAAGATATCAAGAACACCGATGGAAGAGAAGAAGTCAGTCCCTTTGATCCTTTGATTTATCTTGTTGATGAGCCATTTGAATGTACATGCGTAGAGGTTCATGGCCATTGAATCTCGAGAGTCCAATGCCTGTGAATCAAAGCACAGTTAAGTTAGTTCAAAATGGCTGCTAACAAATTTGAACCTCTATCTGTCTCTCTGATTCGTCACGTGCAAATGCACTCAAGACGCACGGCTTGCCTACAACAAGGATGGGCCAACTCTTGTGCTTTTTCCTTTTTATCCGCAAAACATTAGGGGTAGATCTTGCAATGGTAACGACTTATCGCATCCGCAACGAATCCTGATTTTTGTGGCATTCAGCGACCAATAGTATTTTCTATACTTTGCCGCTACTATTACTGCATGGATGGAATACAATACTAATCTCTACTACATAAGGTTAATTCCAGAAATTCCTCAAGTTTCCGTGACAGTTCACCAACTGTCGCCTAGAAAGATGCAGTGGCAGCGGATTTCATTGCTAAAGGAATAGATATGTATACGTATAAATGATACTGAGATCAACGCGTCTCCCACAAGTTTGCAGACTTGTCAGTTAATCGTCTTCCTGGCCTGACAGAGATCCTGGCTTACTTTGTACAATTAAGAAAACAATGCTCTATTTTGTACACATCGCCCAGTTGACTCACCTGTTCAACAGAGAGCGGTGACTGGATTTCTTCACCTCGGAGTATCATTGTTTTCTGCGTCAAAGCATCCGTTAATTCGTAGATGTCCACACGAAGAAGGTTTGCCACATTTTCTAGGACTGTTTAAGAAAACATCATAACGTTCAAGTTGTCGAGGGTAAAAAGCTGCTCCAACGGCCAAAAAAATACTTAATAAGCCTTGTTCCTCTCGAAATTTGCAGACCTTCCACCGATTCGCTTTTCAACACAATAAATGCAACTCCCTAGGCGCACGTCATATAAGTCAGTTGAGCCCGTCGGACAAGGTTCGTTCATGAACTCATCCGGTGGCCGTAAAACTCTCCATGTTGTAAACTTTTTCTTTTGTTCTTAAATTCAGTTCAACGTTGATGCCACGAGCAAATTTTCTCGATCTGGTAGCTTAACATGGTCACTTACTTATGGAGCTACGCTAGCGCGCATAACGCTGAAGCTCTGCATTCAATAACGTGTTTGTCTCACGAAGTACCACTGGACTTCTTTTTCTCAGTAAAAGTTTTAGAGTACGTCAGCAGCGTGAGGAATTACAACAACAACAACAACAACAACAACAACAATTTATCACTTATAGAGCGCTATTTACAATGACAGATCAACAGCGCTTTACAATCAATCCTAACCCACCCATCCCACCCCAGGGGAGGACATCCATCACACAGTAATCTCGTGCGTGGGAAATTCACGTCTCCTACCCCTAACCCTGTAGGAGACGGGACCTCCATTTATTCGTCCCTATCCGAGAAGACTAGAATATCTAACCATTTCTTGATGTTATAGAAAGGTAGCATATTCTTCTCAATTATTTTAAGACCTTGAGTGTTGGTCCAGCCGGGCTCGAACCCTCGACCTCCCGCACAACAGTCCAGCGCTCTATCCATTGAGCTAACCGGGAGGCGGTAGCTAACCGGGAGGCGGTTACACAACCACTATCGATACATACCACTTTTCTCGGAAACTTGTGCGCCACCTGCAGCCAGGAAATGAACATTCCCAATCTGCAGAACTCCAGAAATGACTTGTAGGACGTCAGAGATCTCCTCTTCTGTGAAGCACATCACTTTCATAGCATTCTGATGAAATTTGGAATGAAAATGTTAAAAAAAAGTGTGGCACTTCACCATTATTTTACATATAAAAAAAATTAATTGTTTCCCCGAAACTACGGATCGAGACCCTCTAGGAGTTCTACCAGCGCCTCGATCCTAAACTCCCGAACCTCGATCCGCGATCCTCGATCCTCGATTCTCGATCCATCATTCTCGATCCTTCATTTTCGATCCTTCATTCTCGATCCTTCATTTTCGATCCTTCATTTTCGATCCTTCATTTTCGATCCTTCATTTTCGATCCTTCATTTTCGATCCTCCATTCTCGATACTCGATACCCGATACTCGATACCCGATACTCGAGCCTCCACTCTCGATCCTCGATTCTCGATAGTTTCGAGGATTGAGGATCGAGGGTCGAATTTCGTGTCAAGACGGTCAATTTGCTTTTAGCGGTACTGTATATCGACAACGATTTTTGGACATTGTATGTCATCACTCAAAGTAATCAGGGAGATGTACATTATAGACAAATTCATCCATTATATCGCACTCTTCATTGCCTTACCATGACATTGTTGAAATCTTCCTTGTCATTAATCGATGGGTCTCCATAGCAACCACTCTGTTTTAGGTAGTAATACTTCTCAGGGGAATTTAGAAGCATTGTACCTAAAAAATAATCATGACGATATACGGACGAGGGAACAGATAGTAACTTACAGTTACATCTAAAATCTGCATTCAAAGAACTAGAGGATCGCCAGGGAAACGCCAGATCTACAATAATATTCTAGTACGAGTGCCGTCCTCTCAAACAGAGTATAACAATACTTAACTGCAAACAAAGCGTGGTGGAAGAGTAACCATAGGCAAAAAATAAAGGCCTAGTGAGCTGATGCAGATACCAACAACACTATGCGTGCAGCAGGAAGTAAATTGGATTGTAGGTACGGAAAAAAAAAAAAAAAAAGGGGCGGACAATTTGAATCATGTTTCCCACGACGAAGAGTCAGAATGGCTGACAAATATAGGTCCAAGTTCATTAGATGAATCGAACGAAGAAAAACAGCTGGACGACCAGAAAATTACTTCATTTAATGAAGAAAATAGAAACAGCGATACAACAACGCGCCAATTCCGTTCCGCTTCGCATACTTCTGTCACGCATTCCCCGTAAATAAATATCCGCGAAATTCGCCCGCACTGAAATAACAGTTTGGCGTGTTGGATAATAAATAACTTATTAGACGTTTTGTTGTGTAGTATCGCTGAGTATTTTTACTCGTTATTTTTATTTTGACTCGCCCTACGGGCTCGTCAAAATACGGCAGAACTCGTAAAAATACTCAGCGATACTACACAACAAAATGTCTAATAAGATTTATGTATTGCACTTGTTCGTTAAAGGTTTTATTGGCAGTCTGCTAGCACCCACTGAAACCCAGGGCTCAACACTAACTTTTAAAATTTCTAGCCAGGCAAGTGGCTGATGACAACTTAGATGTCACGACAATTTCAGTTTGTTTACTAGCCAAACTGGCTAGTGGAAATAAAAAACCACAGGCCAAAACTGAATTTCTTCTAGTCTGCGGCCAGTTGGCTACTGTTAGTGTCGAGCCCTAAAACCCCTAGTGGGGGTTTTAATTTGCAATGAGAGGCGTCCCATGCAAAAACACACAACGATCTACATTAACCCAGTGACCCCACCCTTTTTAACATGTCTCATTCTACACCAACATTTATTCCCATATTAGCCAGACAATGAATTCCCAAACAATCATTCTTCCCTGTGCCTGTAATGAGAACGTTGAGAAGTCAGAGCAAAATAATTAAATCGCTTTTACAAGTAACTAGCAAGTACTCACTTCTTTGTTCATCAGATGCACCAGCCAGAAGGGCATAAAATATGTGGTAATTTCTTTCACCTGGATTTTGTCTGACAACACGATTCTTAAGGAGACAACGAACATAATAATCTTTTAAGTTTTCAGTCTAAAAATAAATAAAATGATAACTTAAAGCAAAGCACACACAACTGCTCTGGTCTCAGGAGAGTCAGCCCCTGGAGAATTTGACCGTCATACTTTATTTTATTGTAGTTCATTCATCAAAAATGAGTAAGTATGCCCTATGATTACATTGAGTTTATTCAGACAAGATTAACAATAGATTATTATGAAAACTGTGGAAGGAAGATCAAAGAACAACAAAAACTTACCTTTTCCAAAAGAACTGTCATTTATATTATAGCTGTGGGTCAAGGATGTAATAAAAAGATGCTTCATTTCATACTTAAATTTTTGTTATTTTTGAGTGATAAAATAAACTTGTATCAAATTCAATATGCGTTTCTTATTACATATTTAACTTGAACATATATTTATATACACATCTTTATTTATTTGTCAGGCGTTTTTAACATGAGCCATTAGGCTCGGGGGATTGGGTAACCACCCCCTACGATACTGACATCAAATAATTGTTGTTGTTGTTGTTGTTGTTGAACCTAAACATTCTCCTTGTGCCACCTGCACCATCACTTTGCTCAACCCCCATCCCCCACTGACCACCATCCCAAGCTCTCTTTAACTACTTGATTGGGTAAACTGACTTATTCAACCCATTTCTACCCTCTTTTTAATGAGGCTGCTGGTTTAATAAACTATGCACCAATCTCCGTCTTGCTCACCCTTCCCTTCATCATCTAAGTGTACACAACACTTTTTCAACTTAATCAGCACCCTTAATTGGATCCACTTCTTTTCCACCCAGTTGGGCTCTTGATCAAGTACATACACATAAATGTGTACTCAGAACACGGTTGTCCCTACATTTTGAAACAGCCATTATATTGGAGATACAGCTGTATTACTCATCATCTTCACTTGCAACAACCAGTGTGCTTAGCCATGACGAGTGTTATCAACTTCCTTATCAACTTTTCCTTATCAACTGCCCTACACTTAACTTGTATTCATGGAAATTCATGGCATCTCTGAAACAGCTTGTGAGTATTAATCATTTTATTTGTTAGATCTCCTTACACCACAAGGATACATTCCTGTATCTTTCCTCCATCCATTTGACCCTTAGCATTGAACTGCAGCTGAATGAACTTTCCAAACCTGCTTGAGTTGTTGTTGTAAACGGTCTTTGCATTTCCAAAGGCTTCCATGATAGGACTGTGTAAAGAATAAACCATACGATGAAATTACTAGACAGACAAAAACAATCTGACAGGCATGAGTGACCAGGACAGAGTTGGTCCTCACAATTTTCATATAACATCAAGCAGACAAGTGATGAGTGTAAAAAAAATATCAATGGGGGGATCTGTGATTGGTCTAATACCAAATTATCCAAACCACTACTGATGGTGTAGCTTAAGATTTGTAAGGTAGAGAGCAAGGAGAATTACCCATGAGACCTTGTGAGTGAAAGGGCTGAAGTATAAAAAATCATCTTCACAAGTAAACTGCAATGAAGAATTAGGAGGAATTACAGAAAAAAGTCCAAAAAAAATATCAGGCTTTGAGAGTTACTGACTGCTCAACAAGAAACTGAGCTACAATGTTTCTAACCACAGGTCAAATTTTATTATTTAAGTCATTTTACTCCCATGAAGGTACCTGTGATTTCTGATGACCAGTATATAAATTAAATAAACTGCGCTGAATTTTGAATGCATTGCTCACTTCCATGCAAATTACATGTACCCATTCACTACTCAGTGCTAAATACAGACTCCTTTGCACTGTAAACAAATTTACAACTAAGCCACTTTACCACCATTATTGAGTGTAACAAGGAACTACATTGCTAAGTTACTGAAAGATCCTTTTTTTTTTAATTCACCTTTACCTGCTTTGCAGAATGGCATCATCTACATTTGGGATATTTTCCAATTCTCCAGTTCCTCGGCTGACATCTGATAAATACTTTAGTATAAACTTTGTGGATTCTGTTTTGCCTGCACCAGACTCACCACTATATATTAAGAACAAAGCAAAAAACACATGGGATGATATTTCAGACTCTGAAATATTTGAGGTATTTGTCAGAGTTACCTTAAGTTTTTAAATCACTTGATAAGGAATCTATACTTGATATCACTGTACAAATGAAAGCTAGGAAACTGAGAACATCCCAATGAAAAGACAAAATTTATTTTTCTTACTGGCCCACCAACCCTGGTTCCCAGGCTAAATTATACAGTTGTTTGATGAGTTCCTTGAAACGAAATGTACCCAACAAACTTCTGTAGGAGTCAATAAAAGGAATCAAATAGGAATAAAAAAAGGTACTGAATTATTAATACACTATCACCATCAAGTTTAAACCAGCCAAGGAGAAATCTTCCTCTAACTCTCTCTGTCTTGTTCTATCTCATGCAGTGGTTGTGCATTGTGGAGTGACGACTCCCTTATCAACTGTCTATCATATTATTACAAAACATCTGACCATTAACAACTGAATGATCAACCCTTAAAACTCCCACAAGTGATAAACATCTAGCCTCTCCCTGCATGTGCTTGTATGATACCCAAACATTATCCAGTAAACAGGTAAGGAGAATACTCAAAGTTATCAGGCAAAACTTTCCTGACCACTTTACAAGGGGCTGTGTAGCAACTAGAGGGTAGAATTATCAATCAGATCTCGGGAGTACATTCTTATTATAATTTGAGTTCCATGTGTCTGGCAGCAACTGCACAAGCAAGCCCAAAGGAACATACTTAGATACCTGCATTCCTTGGTGACAGTGCCACAGGTTAATGTACATTGTACATTAGTAGAGACAAAATAATAGGCCTACAGTATAGCTTTACCTTTTGCATACAGTAAGTATGGATACTGAAGCACCACATGATAATGATGGTGACAATTGTATCAGTCATACCTTATGAGTATGCATTGACTTTCTCCCTTTTTCCACATGGAGTAGTAACACTCATTTGCGATGGCAAACACGTGAGGTGCTAGCTCCCCAATGTGCCTTTCTCTGTAACTTTCCATTACTGATTTATCATAGAGTCCTTCAATTACATAATATGGATTCACTGCACACAATATTGATCCAATGTAGGTCTGAAAGAAAAACATCATGAAAACTGTACCGTTAATATCTCAACTCAAACATGGCTGGGTGAAGAAAAGGGTACAGTCAACCCTCTGCCAACAGAAAAGAAGGATGAAGGTGTGAAATAGAAATGGAGTTATCAAAACATTCATTTTTCACAGTGATAGATAATTACAACTTGGATCATTTGATGGTTACCAGAGATAAATAAAAGAATACTGCAAGATGTTTAATGCCATGGTACATTGAATGCCTTGAAACTCAACTCCAGCCTCAATCCTCAAAATAGAGTACTGAGGATTGAGAATCGAGGATCAAGGATCAAGGATCAAGGATCAAGGATCAAGGGACAGTCAACTTACTTTTGAGTAGTATTGTACAACACTACTCAGGCCACTTTTCTTTGAGACACATTATGTGCAAAGAGGCAGCCAATTCTTCGTATGGGGTTCAGGTGATACATCCATCCCTGCCCAATGCTCAATACTCAGACAATCAAGAGTCATATAAAATACTTATGTCACATTTTTCCCTGGGATCATAAACACTTTTAACAATTAATTTACACCCTTACATCATTACATATATTCTTTACACTGTTCTCTATACATTTCCTATGGTGCTGACAAAGAGAGTTTGTTTAACAAGAGCTTCTTTAGTTGGTGATCATTTCCTTTATTCTCGTGACCTTAATGTGTAATTCAGGGGTATTGTTGCAAGGAGAAATTAAATGCTAGTCACTCTGAAGGTGTAAAGGGTTGGTAAACAGGACAACTATCTACACGACTGCTTAACTCAAGTTTTAAAGTTGGCCACTTTCTCAGATCAATTCAGTCGCTAAAATTTTTTCTCTCTTTCATCACAATGGTAACCTGAATTGTTGCAATATGACATACTGGATGAGAGTTTGTAGACTTTAGGGAAAAGGACAACTACTAAAATAAAGCCTTACATATATCTTGTCACTTGTGTATCTGAGATGGAGATTGTGTAGTATAGCAGCATCATGGAGGTCACCTAGGTTGGCCATATCATCCACTCCTTCCACACTGGTCTGATGCATAGCTGTAACATTCTGTCTGTTAAGTGACTCTTTGGCAATATTATATGTCTGCCCCACATGCAAAATGGAACATAAAAAAATAACTCTTCAATCTTAAGATTGTGTAATACTTATTCATTCATTTGTTTCTTATTGATTAATTTACTCATTGCTTAGGGTTAGTAAAAGTATGACCTAAAGGAGTCAATCAAGGGTATCAAGAGATAACAGGTGAAAAAAAATGGAATAATGATCATTATGTATATGAGAACGATCCTTCGCAGTAAAGCACTATTTGAGCAATAGTGAAAATCAGACCTGAAAAAAATTTCAGGCCTGTACGGGATTCGAACCACTGACCTCTGCGATACTAGTGCAGCGCTCTACCAATTGAGCTAACAAGCCAACTGGGAGCAGGCCATCAAATTAATTCGATATAAACCCGTAGATGATAAATCAAACAACAACAAACATATGAAACATATGTGTGAACTGCGGTTATGAGACGTATATGAGAACGATCCTTCGCAGTAAAGCACTATTTGAGCAATAGTGAAAATCAGACCTGAAAAAAATTTCAGGCCTGTACGGGATTCGAACCACTGACCTCTGCGATACTAGTGCAGCGCTCTACCAATTGAGCTAACAAGCCAACTGGGAGCAGGCCATCAAATTAATTCGATATAAACCCGTAGATGATAAATCAAACAACAACAAACATATGAAACATATGTGTGAACTGCGGTTATGAGACGTATATGAGAATGATCCTTCGCAGTAAAGCACTATTTGAGCAATAGTGAAAATCAGACCTGAAAAAAATTTCAGGCCTGTACGGGATTCGAACCACTGACCTCTGCGATACTAGTGCAGCGCTCTACCAATTGAGCTAACAAGCCAACTGGGAGCAGGCCATCAAATTAATTCGATATAAACCCGTAGATGATAAATCAAACAACAACAAACATATGAAACATATGTGTGAACTGCGGTTATGAGACGTATATGAGAACGATCCTCATAATCCCGTACAGGCCTGAAATTTTTTTCAGGTCTGATTTTCACTATTGCTCAAATAGTGCTTTACTGCGAAGGATCGTTCTCATATACGTCTCATAACCGCAGTTCACACATATGTTTCATATGTTTGTTGTTGAATGATCATTATATAACCTTTATTGCCCAGTTTTCCAGCATTTTTCACTGTGGCTAGAACTACCATTATTTGACACCATCTGATTTTGCACTTTGATCTTAAAAAATTTGGTGAATTATTCAATTATCCGAGACTGGCGCATACATTTCATTGATGGTGTCCCTTTCATTTTGTAGGCTACAACTTGTTTGAAATAATGTGAAGTCAATAGCATATATTATTACACGACTCAGGCAGTCAGAGGGCCAATAACTAAAATCAATCAATCAAAATGCTCTATTGCCGGTCAATATTCTCTAAGTATTGGACTGGGCACTGTCCCGAATGGTCCCAAATGATACCGCACTTGTGTCGTAAAATAAATCTCTAATTAACCAAGCTTGCTAAGGACCATACTGGAAGAATATCGGCCCTCAGTTTTTTTTGTACGGACCTCACTGCGCTTGGTCCGTACTGTCAAGACCTCTGTCCGATATTCTCCCAGTACGGCCCTTGCGCTTGGTTAATAAGATATATCTATATGCCCTTAAAAGTTAATTTTCTTTTGAATTTTCATGCACAATATTGCGTCCTCTCAAAATTTGTCTAATCACAATGTCCAAAGGTCAAGAAAATTTAGAACTTAGACAGGTTAGAAAATGAAACAAAAAAAGACTTTTGAGCAACAAGAAACATGACACTCTTGATTATAAGAGGATAACTTTGACAAGCCACATTGTTGATACAGAAGCCTAAGTCATTATATCAGTCACTAATTGACACTGACACATTGATTGATAGAGGGGCATTGGCTGAATAATACTTCCAGCCCTTTAAGTTACTGGGACTTGCAAGAAACGGGCTCCGGGGTGATACTGTGAGCAGAAACTAGATGCCAGTCCCCCTGAGGAGGTTCATGAGTTGAAGAAGAGTTTCTAAAACAACAGTCACTTATTCAGTCTTCAGAAAAAGAAAAAAAATTATCAAAATTTTAAATTCAAAACAAAGCTTTTTTTAGAAAATAAATTTAAAACTTCTCTTTGGATAGCATAAAGCACCATGATTGAAAAATGAAAGCAAAATTAGTATCGCATAAATATTTAGAGAAGAAATATAATTCCCTTGTCCAAGAATAAACGATCAGAATCCAGTGTCGTTACTCTTAATTTTAATCGGTTTTCTAGAAATCTTTAGCGCACCTTTAGACATATGGGTGTATATATCATTGTCGATCTTCATGTATGACAATTATGTTCAGTTGGTACTTCACAAGGTGTTCAATAAAAAATTATTATCCACAATAAAAATCAATTCTCATTGGAATTGTCACCAAGCTTAAACTGAAAAAACAAATCATGTCCCAATTAAGCTTATAGTCTTTTGTTCCACTTGATAACGAAATATTTCGCGCAGCGAAAAATACAACGGATTAATAACTGAAACTGGAAGATTTTCGAACGTCGTAGTATTAGATTTTATGGGAATTACGTAAATGGGCAACCGGATATGCATTCAAACTCACGTCCGAACTAAATCTCAAATTCGCAACTACAACATGCATTCAAAGTAATTATTGCATGGATCGCTATCTATAAAACAGCGTGAAGTAAACAAACTAAACGATATGTCCAATTAACCGCAAGTTAATCTACGATCTCGCCTTTTAATGTTAGATATCTCTTCCATCGTGAGAGGTCAATTATAGCGCAAACAGTCATACCTGTAAACTTATATCACGACAAAATCGCTTGAAGTGGGAGGGTTAGTTCACATAATTGCAATCATTAGAACGTGTCGAGTCGTACACAATGAATACAATCTTTCGTTAACAAAAAACTCACCTTCTCGTATTCAGTACGGAAAGTAACTTGTCCCCCTTTTGATTCTGTTACTGTAGCAGGGACCCAATCTTTCCCCTCGAGAAGCCACACACGAGATCCCTAAAATATAAACCGAACCTTTGAAAGAGCAGATCCCGGCGTATGAGGCACATCAGATCTCATTCCATCACACTCTATCGAAAACACTAAACGCGAATTGTTCCTAATTGATAACAACAAAATCTCACCACTTCGTAAAATGATTCCATGGCTAAACTTCCCAATCACGGGCAAAGTTTCGTCAGGACATCGTAAGGTTGGCGAAAAATTTGAGCGTTCGAGAAAAAATAGAAACCACTTCCGAAAGAGCACCGATTCTGCAGTTCCGCTCGACTTTCTAGTCCATATCGCGGGCGCGGGATCTTATTACGGAACGGAAGGTCAACGGATGGGAGGAGCTAGTTGACCAGTTTGCGTACGTTCAATGGAACGACATCTATCGCCGCGAAAAAGTCGGATCTGTTACTATATAGGAGGGATGTTAGCTAAAATCGGGGATGATACCCTCAGTATCTCTATGTTTTTTTCTTGTTTTGGTAAACTTCAGCCTATTGGATGCGTTCCTGATTCGATTTAGTGTTACTGCAACCGGAAGTTGGTTGATAGCTTCAGTGGTATCTGCTATGAAGAATTTGGACCAGAAGAGCGGTCAAGGTTGGGAATTCAATTATTTTTCCGGTTTTACTCCCCTATTCCACTTACGACGCATCACGAGAAATGAAACTTCAATGGTTTGGAAATGGGATGATAAAAAAGAGAAATACACTTAAGACCAACTTCGATTAGAAAAGATGAGCTTCAATGGGTGTTTTTTAATAGGTTTTTTCGTGGAGGGGGGGG